TGTAACTACCAGGCTTTTCCTAACTAGGTCATCGCTGTCAGCAAAACTTTTCATCTTATCTGCAGCATCTGCTCTTAAATTATCGGGAATGTCTGGGACTAATGCTAAAAAAATCATGTATTGTGGGAAGAGGAGCAGCAAGCGATAAGATAGTGGGGTCATGTTTTGCCCACAAAATATAGTCAATTCACTTTACAGTATATTCTGTGAAGCGTTTTGAGATGTCTGGAAGACATGATAAGGCGCTATATCAAATACAAGGATTATTATTATTTTTATAAGAGGATTTTTCAATTACAAGTACAAGGTTACTGAGCTCACGATTTAGCTGTGCAGTGTAACTGTGAACCAGCAATGAGAAGGTGTTTATTTAGCAATTTGTTACAGATACAGTATAAAGTTAGAGACAGGGAGAGAGTAAGAGAGAGAGAGTAAAAGACACGAGAAATTAAGAGAGAAGTTCAGAGAGAGGATGAGACAAAATGATAGATAGCAAGTTCGAGAGAGCGAGAGAGAAAGGAGGAAGGCAGATAGAAAAGGATTGGACAAAAGTGACAGTATACCTCCTGAAGAGATTTTATGGTAATAAGGCAGCCAACTTGCAATTTATGTGGAAGTATTATTTCCTTATTGACAATGGGGCCAGTCCCAATTACTACAGATAACCAGCTTTCTACTATGTTTAGAGTGGCACATGAGAAACTGACTGCACTGTAAGTTTGATGGTAAAGTATCTTCAGAACTGAACTGTGACTACCAGAGATCCTGTAATTACTGCACTTCCTGGATGGACTGGTACATTTTCCTGCAACGTGGCTACATCAGCTGGGGTGCAGTTATTGTTAATTAAGAGAACTAGTATGTATCCTTCTACAATCCTACCCACTCAGGTCAACATGTCGGGGACCATTCTAATTTTGTTGACATAGGCAATTTATCGAAATAGGTGGCCACAAGCGAACAATACATACTCTGTAGCTTCTATTACACGTTATTCACATGTATTTTCTTTGTTTCTTTTAAAAAGCCATACATCTAATTTACATGTATTTTCATTATTTTATTTACAAAAATAGTCATTTTAGGGTTACTGTTACTGGTTACTGTTGACATAACTAAACAAATAAACAAACGGACGGACGGTAAAACAATGTATTTAATACTGTTAGGGGCCCAGACAATTTATCAACATAAGTGTGCTGGAGGTTATGTCAACGACAGACAGTATGTGTTTAATATTAATGTGCTGAGAAGGGACCGGGACTTCACTTTTTTATGAATCTAAATGGGATGTCAACATAAACAGGTTTGATTCAAGTAAGTAAGACTGCATCCTGCTGAAAACTGGCTCTCTTCTTAACTCTATTTGAGCCAGCTGTTTTCCAGTTGCTGTGCACTCTGGCAATGCTGCTGGAACAAGGTTCCAATAAACATTCCAGGGGAAGGTGCATTGATGACATGGAAGAAAGAATAAACTTAACTTTTATAGCTCCCAGTGACGCTGAAACATTTAAAAGCGAGTTTCACGATAATAACTGTTGAGTGCAATGATGGTTTTGTGCCATTTTGTGTAGGCAGCAAAACCACAAACAGCCGTCTGTCTAATTTGTCTGGAGCATTGTTGATTAGAATAGATTAGAATACCATACTCTCTTCTCTTTTCAAATAATGTTATGAAATCATTAAATTCACCTGAACAGGCCATTGTATTTTGGTTTACACTCTCAAGCACAGGTGAGAATGTTACCAACTGAGCCAAACTGAAGAAAGATGTAGATGCTCAGGACGGAACCTCAGTTTAACATCTCATGCGAAGTACAGCACCTCCAATAATGTCGCATGTCCTCAGTACTGCATTGGAGAGTCAGCCTGGACTATATGAGTTCCAAGTCCTGACATGCTTTGAATCCACAACCCATTGAGTCGAGAGATTTTGTGCTACCACCTGAGCCAGGCTAACATGATATTGACCCAGGCCGATAGGACAATCTTCTGTTTCTTCTAAATAGTGCCAAGGGCTCTTTAACTACCAGCACTAACAGTAGATAGGACCTCAGTTTAAAGTCTCATCCTATGAATGCCAGCAATTCAGCACAATGCAGTATTGCTCTGAAGCCTGGCCTGCTCAAATCCTGGTATGAGATTTGAACTCATAGCCTTCTAAACCAGAGGAGAGAGCACTGCTGACTGAGTCAGATTGACGCTTTGTTTTACTGGAAAGGGTTCGGGCGAGGTGAGGTGGGGGAGAGGTTGGAATTTTCAGAGCGCGTTTCCTATCAGTCAAACCCCTCGAGGAATGACGGCACAGTCATAGGGAGCGCAGCTTCAAAGAGCTATACTGTGCATCACATGGCTGTGCACAATGGTGTAGTGTTAGCAGCATGTAATGAGAGGAACAAGAGACGGTCCACAACCAAACATTACAAATTGGTTTCAAGGCCTGATCTGCGGTGGCTTTCCCAGTCAGTTTCGGGCTAGATTGAAATTGCACCTTTTGCAGCAGAAATGGGCTTTACAACAGCACATTACAATGAAGTTTTCATTCATGTTGAGCTTTGGGTCACTGCTTGTTGGGAAATGTAAAAGGGGGATTTCGGACAGGATCAAAGAATATCTGTGAAGGGGAGATTAGATCCTCTCATGCAGCAAGCTGTGCAGTGACTTCAGGTCAGTCACTGTTCCCAGGTCTGGAGTTGTGGGTCATATGGGTTCAAAGGCTCTTTGTTCAACAATGCTTTTCTTTTTAGAAATAAATGGAACATAGAAGCAGATGATGAATGTGCCAACAACTGCCTAGTGGGTAAAGGCACTGCAGCAGTACACACAGGCCAGGTGTCACAGATTCAAACCACAACAATTTTCATAAAGAGTTTCTCCCAGTCACATGAAAACAATTCAATACAATTTATATTGATACAGCAGCACCTTTAATGTTGGGAGAATGTCTGAAAGTGCTTGACACTGCTGGCTGGGCATCCGAACTGGATGCCGAAGAGGGTGGGAGAGGAAAATCCACGGTCAAACAGGTACGTCTTGAGACGGACCTTAAATGAGGGAAGGGAGTGAGCTGAAGGCACTCCAGGATGGAGTTCCAGAGAGCGGGAATAAAGAAAATAATTCAATTTCTAAACCCTTTCCACGATACCAAACCCACTTTAGCTTTTTCCATCAACAGTTTCAAAATATTCTAATGTTCAGATAATTTGTTGAACATTTCTAATGTTCAGCTACAAGTGTAGGAGACAGTATACAAAGAAGGTCCCGGAATAAATTAACACACAGAAGATTCTGGAAACAAACGCAATTAAGTGGTGTTTTGCAAAACGGTCGGGTTTGATTATGAACATTTGACAGTTGACAGCTGCAAAAAAAAGACTGTTTCCTCTCCCCCACATTTTATGTTTGCAACATAATTTTGACAGCAGTATTTTGGTAAATTTTCTAACTTGTATTAAAAATTAGTTTGCTCTGTTTTCTTCCATCCTATTTTTTCCTTTCTCGAAACTCTACCTCACTGTACATGGGTGCTGGCCGTTCTCAGCTACTTCAACCGTTCTTTTCACGTGGAACTCGTCTGATTCTGTGTTTATCCAATAGGCACAAGTACATGCAAATTCCAGCAAGATGGGGGGATTTAATAGTGATCTGCCTGATTGTCCTTTCCTTAACCTAATGCCAATTTTAGTCAAAACACTTCATCGGCAACTGTTGCTGTGAAGTGATTGTGTATTTGTAGGCAAACACAGCAGCCATTTGCAGCAGCAAGACCTCACATATAGCTATGAGCTAAATGATGGAAAGTATCAGTGGTATTTTGTTCTGATATCTCAAACATTCTTCATGCATGAGCCAAGACAGTGGCAGATGATTCAACCCTGGAGTTCTTTTCACCTGATATCCATATAAAAGCCTTTTATGTGGGGATATGTAGACAATGATTAGAAACAGGAACCATGACTGATTTTTACCTCTCCTTAACCCAGGGATGCTGAAGCCAATTGTAGTCCTAACCCAGGGATGTACGTGTGTTGTGAAGGTGTGATTATGTGGTAGGTACTGTGTGTAGTGGGGTGTGTGTTTTCTATGTGTCCGGGAAGACCTCCTGTCGTAAAAGATCCTCTCTTTGGCTTTAGCCGAGATCAGTGGTGACCAACCTTTATGGTCAACCAACTAAATACAATTTCTTGATTGAATATTTCTTGATTTATGGCATAAATCTCTTAGGGGTTTAACTTTTTTCCTGTCTACCCTCTTAGTGTTCTAGTATTGAAAGAATTTGGGATGGGGGCCATGTGTGCAGCTGGGCTTGTACTGACACTGGGGAATCCAGCCCTCAATTTTAACCAGGAGGATTGGGTAGTCCAGGGTCATACACTGTTGTTAGATTAGTGTTGGTCACTAAACTGGCTAATGTTTCTCTTCTTGGATCCAGGCTCTGTGCAGTGTCTCTCCATTTTGTTTTGTTTGTCCTCTTCTAAGTGCAAACCATGAAGTCACATAGCAGCAATGTCTTGAGCTTGCAATCGACACAGATCAGATCATGCACCTAAATAATCAACAAAGACATTGGGTGGATCGAGTGCTGGATGCACACAGGCAAGGTACTGACGTGATACAGTGGGCATTACTGGTGTGATACAATGAGCAAGGTCCCATTGCTGGTGTGATAGAGCATTATTTGGTGTGTTTCAGCACCTTGGGATGTCCTCCCGACGTGAAATGCGCTATACAAATGTAATTCTGTTGTTGGAGTCTTACAATGAGCAACGTGTCATTACTGGTGTGATATAACGGGCACAGGCTCATTACTGGATTTGTGGGCAGGTGTTATTACTGACACTGCCGTTAATGGTGCAACAGAGTGTGGGGTTCCATTGTCACATTATTGCCCAGGGATGTCCTCCCAAAATGAAAGACACTATACTGTATAAATACAATTTATTGTTGGTGGTGTTGTTCCAGGGACACCTGCTCTATCTGCTTCTTTTCTTTCTCTGCAGATAATTCTGACAAACCAGATCACCACACGATTGAGCCAGGACTACACTGGCCTTTCACAACTGAACACTGGAGCGGGGGTAGCACCGATGACTGCAGGTAATGACTGCTCCGTTCTACAAGTTGCTGCTTTCATTATCACCCATCCAAGCATTGGGCTTCTTTCATGGTCATAGGAATTGTGTTTTTCAAATAGGATCCTAATCATCGACACTGATGACCAACTTATAATGTAAAGTTTTCCATTATGAATCCTAAAACCTGCACACAGCAAACAGAATGTGAGAATATTAGTGAAATACTTGGAATTGCACTTATGAGTTAAAAGGTACTGTTTAGCCAAGGCCCCTTCATTATTAACTTTAAGACATTTTATTGTAATAAGATACTATAAAACTCCGTTGCAATATCTTTTCTGGTGCTGTCGAGCAGTGAAAGGTGGAATAATATTAAAATAATCCTTACATTTGATATAGCGCCTTATCGCGTCTTTGAGTCATCTGAAAGACCTTCACAGAATATAGGCACTGGGAGCATCAGCATCTAAGGATGCACACTCCACCTCACCAAGCCAGTCTTGTTTGACCCTCAACTGTCCTTTCTCCCCCACATCAGTGCCATGATCCGCTCTGCCTTCCCCTACTACTGCAACATTGCCCGACTCCGTCATTGCCTCATCCCTCAGGCCACCGAAGTCTTCATTACATCCAGGCTCGACTATCCCTATTGGTAGGCCTTGCCATCTCTTCCCTCCACAAGCTACAGATCATCCAGAACTCTGCAGTTCTGGTCCTCCCACACCAGGTTCCGTGACCCCTTCACTCCACCCTGGCCCGGCTCCATTGGTTCCCCATCACTCACAGAGGATCGAGTTAAAAATTCTCGCCTCACCTTCAAGGCCCTCCATGGCCTTGCCCCCTCTTAACTCTCCGACCTGCTAACCCCTTAGCAACCTGTCTACTCCCTCCGCTCAGCACGCTCCGGTGTGCTCCATGTCTCCCGCCTGGCCCAGCCCATCAACGGCAGTCGGGCCTTCAGCCTCACTGCTCCCACCCTCAGGAACTCCATCCCACATTCTCTTCGCCTCGCTCCCTCCCTTGCCTCCTTCAAGGCAACCTCAAGACTCTCCTCTTCGACCATGCCTTCGGCCACCCTCCTACCCCCACCCTCCTACTCCCGCCGCCCTCCACCCTCCCTGATCCCAAGCACCCCCCCATGGCTTGGGTCCTAATCCCTGACTGTTCAGTGCCTTGGGTTGTACTCCCGATGTGACAGGCGCTTTACAAATGTGATATTGTATTGTATACTATAAAGTGAATTGTATTTTGTGGGCAAATAGTGGGAGGTTTACTCACACATGCATTGCCTCATGTCACTGTCTCCTGATGCAAGGACTGCCCAGCAATCATTTTTGTTGGCTGTAGTCTGCTCCTTCTTGCAGGCTTAGTTACTCACTGTGTGTTCCTGCAGCATCTGTTAATAGTTCTCTCAGCGCCGAACAGCCTCAGATTGAGTTACCCCTAATCCCTTCTGCAGGGTTTACAGCCCTATTGGGTTCTATGAAATGCACTTTTTCCCCACTTATGCAAAGCTCCAGTAGTGTTACATGGAGCAGCACCCTGACATTTAGCAGTTCGGTGCATTCCAGACTCATGGCTTCCAACATTCATGCCTTTTAAAATTAATACCTTCCTGGAGAAATATACAGTGGTGACAGTGTGGAATGTACTGCTCCAGAATCAATTGGAATGTTTAAAAGGGAGATAGATGGTTGGGAAGTAAGTATTAGGGTACAGAGAAAAGGTGTGGAAGTGATATTAAAAAATTTGCCAGAATCCAATAAACTGTCAGGAAAGGCTCAACTAAATAGCCTCTTATTCCTACAACAAGGGGCAAAGTCTGACTTTATACTGAATTCTATTAATAGTTTTATAATCTGGAAATGCACACCATTTATTCTTGTAGGAGGGAAGTTTTTATTGTCTCTGTGCTGCATAAGAAAGATTTCAGCATTTCCTGTTTGTTTAATGTCAGTCTGGCTCAGTTGGTAGCACTCTCGCCTCTGAGTCAAATTGTTATGGGCTCAAACCCCACATCGGAACTTTGAATTCATATACTCCAGTGCAGTGGCTGGGGGTGTGCTGCAATGTGGAAAGTGCTGCCTGTTTATGTGGACATTAAAGATTCCATGCCATTATTCAAAAAAAGAAGGGTGTTTCTCCTGGGCTTCTGACCAACAATCCTCCAACTAAAACTGATCATTCACTTTATGACTGTTTGTGTGACATTGCTGTGTGCAAATTAGCTGCCTCATTCGGCTACTAATACACAATCACAACACTTTATTAGTAAATCCTGTGAAGCACTTTGAAGTGTCCTCCCAACGTGAAAGGTGTTGTATCAAATGTAAGAGTTATTGAAATGCTATTATCAATGTTTCCTCCTTTCCTGAAGGTGTTGATTTATGCTGGGGAATGTTCCCATGATCAAGGGACAACCTCCATTCCTCCAAACTACAATAATAACACCCAAGTGTCATTATTCATAAGTGAGCCTTTAACAACAACAACAAATTCACTTGTATAGCGCCCTTCACGTCGGAAAGACGTTCCAGGATGCTGGACAGTCAGGGATTTTGGACCTGAGCTGAGAGTTGGGGTCAGGAGGGGTGGAGGGCAGGGGAGTGGGGGGAGGGAGAGAGGCCGAAGGCACAGTCGAAGAGGAAGGTCTTTAGACGGGACTCGAAGGAGGCAAGAGAGAGGGTGAGGCGGAGGGATTGTGGGGTAGAGTTCCAGAGTGTGGGGGCAGAGATGCTGGTGGGGTGAGAAGTGTGGGGGACTTGAAGCTGCCCATGAATCATAGAAACATTTTTGACATTGGGGCAGCTATGGTTAATTCTGTCCTCACCTGGCACCCACACATTTACAACAGGATAGTGATCAGGAGTGGCTTCAACCCCCCAGCCTATCTGAGCAAAATAATCCCAGTTAAATCTCACTTGGGCATTACCCTGAGCTACCCAGCAGAAAATGGGATTTGAATTTGTGACCTTCTGCAACAAAAACAACTTGCATTCATACAATGCCCTTAACGCGGGTTGGCATCTCAGAGCACCTATGTTCCATTGTTGCAGCATGTGTTGAGGAAAAGCAACTTCAGAAATAAGACTTAAACAATTTTCTGTGCAATCTTATATTTCAAGATAGTGGTTTTAAGGTTCAGACAATGAGATTTGGGGGATTCAGATGCCTTTAGTAGAGAAGATGGAAAGAAAAAAGAAACAGAAATTTATTTACAACCTCACAGACAGCAAAAACATTTCCTTTTCCTCTTTTGCAAACAGATGAGATCAAAGAGTCCTGAGATGTTCTGGGTTGAGGGCAGGACACAGCAAGCGGTGTTTAGACTGTCCTTGGGAAGAAGGCGTGGGTGTACTGTTTTGTGCTGGATTCCATCCAGGACGAGTGCCGGCTGCATCACGTTTACCGCTGCCGGTTATCTTGAAAGGGAGAACGCAAGAAGCCAATAGCCTCCTTTCCCAGTCTGTGCCCTGCTCACTGCCCCAGAAAAAGCAGCTGCTCTCATCCTTTCAGACACTTTAATGGCCTGGCCCTGGGCTGCCTGCCAGACAGTCTTTATACTTTATTTTTTCCAACAGATCCCAGTCTCACTGTCCTCAGCGAGCTGTTGGGAACAGAGGTTCCTTCTTGACTGGGCTCAATCTCTGCCAGAGCACTTTATGCCTGAATAGGGAATTAACATCTGCTCTAGCAGCCTTGCTTTCTCTGAACTGTTAGCATGTGTATTGTGTGTGCGTGTTGTTTGTGTTGTCTGTGTGTGAGACTGTGATAAAAAAACTTGAGGGAATTTTTTCTTTTTTATAACATCTCATCACATCACATTGTTTCAAAATACTTCACAATAATTACAGTAAAATGCACCGATTCCGTCTGTAAGCAAATGTGGCAGCCATTTTGTGTACACCGAGGTCCCACTAACAGCCACGAAGTGAATAACAACTTTGTCTAGAGGATTCTATCTATAAGGCCTCCTCTGAGATGCGAGAATTGAAGAGCCCTGTTTTTGAGGGGAAACGAGAAAGTTATTTTTGTAAATGTTATCAACTCCAGTGCGACATTCAGTAAAATCTTATGTAAACCACAGACATGGTACTTGTCTAGCTTGACCCATCATAGTTGATGACATTTCAAGACCTCCAAGTCGCATTGAGGAGCCAGACAGACTGGTGAGAATCGTAGACACACACTTACTTTGCCAGAAATGTCTCCTCACAGTCAGTTTTATTGCTAACCAAGATTCAAACCTGCAACCTGTCTGATTTAGCATGTCAAATGTATTGACTCTTTTTGACTGCTTTGAACACAGCATCCATTTCTACATACAACAAAGTTCCACAGCAGTCATGAGGCGAATCATCATTTAATCTGGGGAATTATTGGCAAGGATACAAAGAAAGAATTCTTTCTCATTTTGAATGGTGCAATGGGATCTTTAACAATCACCTGAGGAACAAGCATACAGGTCCTTGGTTTAATATTTTATCTGAAAGACAGTGAAGCACTTTATAATAATAATCCTTACATATGACATAGAGCTTTATCACTTTGTCGAGATGTCTCAAAGCATTTCACATCACTTGCTGTGAAGTGTAGTGACTGTGTATTTTATCGGCGAACCCGGCAGTCAATTTGCGCCCAGAAATTAAGTGAATGACCAATTTTATGTGAGGTGTTGTTAGGCCGGACGCTGGGAGAAACTTTCTTCTCTTTTTGAACAGTACCATGAGATCTTTAAGTTCCACATGAATAGGCAGACAGCAATTTGTTTAATCTCCAACAATACAGCGCATCTCAGCACTGCATTGGAGTGGGAGCTCAAGTCCAGGCTACATTAGCCACACTTCTTGTATCTTCCATTAGTTATTGATTGATCCTGTGGAGCTTTCCTTTTTGGGAGGGTGGGATTAAGCCCAGTGTTTTACAACAACAACAACAACAAGATTCCATTTATAAAGCGCCTTTCACGTCAGGAGGACGTCTCTTGCTTTTACCTTGCTTGTATTGTGCCAACCCAGGAAA